TTTTTTTTACATTCCTCATTTTCTTTTCTCCTCTTTAAAATAAATAAATGTATATTTTCCTGTGTTCCATTTGTTCTCTCCCTCGGTGTTTAATGAATGAGAGGCTCAGCTAAGATCAATAATAATTATGAGGAGAGTTTCCGTCTCGGGGGTGAAGGGGGATATTTGCAGAAAGCAGAGGAAGTGGCGAGTAAATATTTGATGTATCTGAAGGGTCTTCACCATTAAACTCTGTCCGCATCATAAACCAGAGCTGCAGTGTTTACAGGACATCAAACTGAGGACGCTAAACTCACAGCCTGCAGGGTGTTCTTAGCCAGGGTGAGCTTCTCCTCGCAGTCCACCGCCGTGTTCTGGATCTTGTTGGCTCGCTGAAGCAGCAGCTCCACCCTGAAAACACACACATGTTCAGAAGAAGCTTCTCTGAACCCAAACCGCCATCGCCAAGCGTCAGCTCCTGTTTCTGCACCTCTCCACGGCCGGCCTGAGGGCCTTCTCCCTCTCCAGCATCTCCAGGATGAGTCTGCCCCACTCCTCCTCCAGCTCGTTGGGATGGAGGCCCTGAGGAAGCTTAATGCGACCGAACTCGATCCAAACCTGGAAACGGGGACAGAAGGAGGTCATCAGCTGGGCTCAGCGGTGGCGTCAGCTGAGCGGGAGCACAGGAGGAGCTTTCATCAGCCATCATGTGTTTGTGCTTCAGGAGGCACCACAGACAGAACCGGCTCTGCCTGGGCTCAGCCCCGTGATGCACATGGTGCCCGCCACCAGGCGTGCGTTTGACGGCACTCACCTCCAGCAGCTTGAAAAGGTGCTGGATGTGGGACTTCTCCGTCTCCTTGGCGGGGAGCTCCGCCTCCTTGAAGTGGATGTACTCGTTATAAAGTGCCTGCAGGAGGAAACAAAGGCAGGACTCAGACAGTCACTTTTCAGACACACAAACAAACTGGAACGTTCTACTTTCTCATTTCTTGCACTGATTTGAAAATATGTTTCTCCTGAGGGTGTCTAGTAAACGAGAATCACTGAGGTATGAAATTGATTTGTGCAACCTTTGATCCTGAAAGCTTTTAAAATTAATAACTTGAAATTACTTTGAATGTTTAATTAAAAAAAGGAGAATTCTGCATCAAACGCTTCAAACTTTGAGAAAGGAGGACAAGTAGAAACAGAAGGGTTGGTCCTTCACCTTGAGTTCAACAGGGTTCTGGGGGAAGTTCCTCTTGGCCATGAGGGCTGTATGCTGGCGGCTCCACTGGAGCAAAGACGAGAAGCCGGACTGGTACTCCGACCAGCGCTGGTCCACTTCCTAAAGAGCAGGAAGACAGAAGGAAACCGTTCAGAGGCGAAGGAAGGAAGGAAATAGGTTAAATAAGAAGCAAACGGGTCGTACCTGTGCAGAGATGCCCTCTCCTCCCTCTGGGATTTTAGGAAAGGCATCGTAAATGGAAGAGACGTACGTGATAACTGACTTCTCGTCTGGAGAGGGAACGTCGACGTCTGAGGAAAGATCAGACAGGAGGAATATAAAAACAAGGACCTAATATAAGCTCCTCCAATCAGCTAGATGGTAGATAAAACCTGGAAACAGCTAGAAAGTGTGGACGATTAAACATTTTTAATATTCCATAGTTGCATAGTTTAAAGATGGGGAGGAATTAATAACCCTAAACGTTCCTTCGTCCCCAATAATCTCTACGTAAATGTTAAATATTTTTGCTGTGAAGTGAAGAATCAATTAAATCCTTTTATCACGAAGTTAATTTTTTTTTTCTTTTAAAAGAATGAACAACATCAGGGCTCGATGTTAACCATCGCCCGATCGCCAGGGGC